CCCGGTGGCCTGCGGGGGTGGCAGGACTACGACCGGAGCGCGGGGCGGGTGCCGGTGCCTGTCCCTGCGCGGCGGATCCGGGGAGGCGGCGGCCCGTGACCTCAGAGAGTTGGAATGCGGGCGGCGGGGCGCGGGGGAGGCCGGACAGCTGCGCCCGGCCGCGGGGAGGGGAGGGGGCGCGCCGTGGCTTTTTTTAATCCTGTGACCAGTTATATTAAGTTTCCAAATGAAGAAGAGCTTTTAATAAAACGAGGGGATGCGGTGTTATTTCCTTTTCAGGTAGAAAGGGCCTGTTCCTGGCACAAGATTGGGTGGTGGTCTGCAAAATGCTGTTGTGACTGCGTTCATCGTGGAGTCCTGTACGTTGCTGAAGACGGCTCAGAGGTGGTAGACGTCTTCCATTTGTGCCTGCGCTCTCCAGAAAATACCCTCATCAGTAGTGGGTGGGAAAGAACCCTTGCCCACGTCCCCAAGGATGGAGACCCCTCCCCGAATAAGGTGTTCCCAAAAGAGAGCTTAAGCCTGTGCAGCGCAGAATAGAATTGTCAAGGATGGAAGCTCCGGGTTCAACTTGGATTCAGATCTCAACTCCACCTCTGGTGACCGTCCTCAAATTTCCAAACCTCTCTTTACTCTGTACTAGTTCCCTAGGAACTGGGAATGATGATAATCATTATCCTGTAAACCTGGGTAAAATATAAGACCTGTTTCCTTTCCATCCTAAGCCCTCCTGCTAATGCTTATTATATGCCGTATTCTCACACTGCATTATTGCTATGACTGCGTTTATTACACTTAAGCAGACAAAACCTGTGACCCTGACAGTAGTATTACAACAGATTGTTTGATCTCTGCTTGGCATGTCTTTTAAGTGACTGGAGCAGACATTTCTGTACATTTTAAATGATTTTGTTTTCATTCTGTTTCTGGAATGTTTTTAAGTGTTGCATTTCATTTAAATCTTCCTTCAACAATGCATGAGACACATTCCCTGCACACAAGGACTTCTGGTCCAGTGGTTAATGAACACACACCACACACACACTACAAAGTGTTGGTGGGCAGTCTGTCATAGATCTTTGGGTGCCCAGCAAGATGCAGTTTGTGTCATATAGCTAATGCTTGCAAAATTACCATGGTTTCTAGTGGGGAAAAAAAAAGGACCAATTCTGTTTGTGATTGATATTTCTGCTGGACTCCATTAGATGCTGTTTGTGTGTGAGGAAACAGATCTGAAGGTGCACCCCTTTTCTGAGCTGGAAATGCTGGACTCGTGCAATTTTCCTCATCTCTATTGTCATCAAGATCTGATGTTTCTTCAAAAATAACTCACCAATTCTTTCTTCAGTTCCTCCTCGTACATTCTAACCCAAACCCTCATTATTTTGCACCCTGATTATTGCAACAAAGTGGTTGCCTTGCACCTAGTTTCTGTTGCTAATTCTCTTTCCTTCTGTTCTATTACCACTGTACCTCTCCCTTGGGTTTTTCAGTCGTTCCCAGTGGTTCCCCCAAGGTGAAGCTCAGCTACAAAACTTTTAAGGGCAACCTCAACTGGCCTCTCTTAACCACCTTATCCCTCCCCTCTCTCCACCACACCCTCTGCACCCAAGTTGCTGAATCCCCTGGGAGCAGGGCTTCAGGCCCTTTCCATCTATCTCATCTCTGCACTTCTTTCAGTTCAGAACTCTGCTTCCAAGACAACTTTCTAGCCACCCTGTGGCTTCTGCGCTTGGCAGAAACATTAAAAATTGTTTCATGTAGGCTTCTTTTATATCTAGAATTCCTAGGGCAGTACTGGGCAGAGAGTAGGCACTAAATAAAAAAGGTGTTAATTGAATCGGGAAGAAAATGAAATAATTTTAAAAATAGAAAATGATCATAAAACCCAAGTGGTGTTTTAAACAGCTGAGTTGAACTGCCTCACAGACCACAACTGCCATTTACTGCTATGCACTTAAGCTCTATTTTCCCTCAGTTATGTTAATTTGGCAGAAACATCCCCATGACAAGGCACAAGAACCACTCCTTCAAAGCATTAGGCATAAAATTCTAATTGGCTTAGGTTTTCTACATAAGGGTGACATCATTTATATGGTTCAATTCCAACATACACAAAACATTTTCCTTCCTTGCCTGCTAAACATCCACCTTTTCTGGAGATAACTTCTTACTTGATTCCTATGTATCCTTGCATATATATAAAAGCTACTGCATACATACACACATGTGCATGCACACAAATGTATCTTATTATCCAGAAAGTAGTACATAATACATACTTCTACAATGGAAGTACATTAGTACATTCTCACTAAAATACACAAATGCCATTTTATTTTATTTCTTTACTTATTTGGTTTTTTGAGACAGTGTCTCACAATGTAGTCCTGGCTGACCTGGAACTCTCTATGTAGACCAAGCTGTCTGAACTCAGGGATCCACATGCCTCTGCCTCATGAGTGCTGAGATTAAAGGTATGAGCCACTATGCCCGCCCTACCAAATACATTTGAGAAAGAGGCTAGACAGATGGCTCAGCGGTTAAGAGCAGTAGCTCTTCCAGAGGACCCAAGTTCATTTACCAGCACCTATGTCAGGTGGCTCACAACTGCCTGTGACTCCAGCTCCAAGGGGTCCCAACACCTCTGGCCTCTTTGGGCACCTGCTCTCATGTACACTCACATGTGCACATGCACACACACTATACACATAATTAAAATAAGATAAATCTTTTTTAAAAATTGGAAAACCTGTGCTCGCTTCAGCAGCACATATACTAAAACTGGAAAAATACAGAGAAGATTAGCAAGGCCCCTGCATGAGAATGACACACAAATTCATGAAGCAGCCCATATTTTATTTTTTATTTAGAAAACTCTGGGACTGGAGAGATGGCTCAGTGGTTAAGAGCACTGGCTGCTCTTGTAGAGGACCCGGGTTCGATTCCCAACACCCAAGTGGCAGCTAACTACTGTCTAGAGGATCTGATGCTCTCTTCTGACTGCCGGGGCACTGCTTGACGTGGGTGCACTTACATGCAGGCAATACAATCATACACATAAAATATTTTTTGAAAAAGTAGGAAACCCATTGGGCATGGTAGCACATGCCTTTAATCCCAGCACTTGAGCAGCAGAAGCAGGCAGATCTCTCTGAGTTCAAGGCCAGCCTGGAGACCCTGCCTCAAAAAGAACAAAAAGAACAACAAAAAATTAGGAAACCCTGCACATAAAATGATGAAATATAAAATGATAAGTGTCGGGCATGGTGGTGCATGCCTTTAATCCCAACACTCAGGAGACAGAGGCAAGCAGATCTCTGTGAGTTCAAGGCCAGCCTGGTCTACATAGTGAATTCCAGGATGGCTGGGGCTACAGGAAGACCCTGTCTCAAAAAGACCAAAAAAAAAAAAGATAAGCAGAAAGGAAATTGTGGTTTGTGTGATGCGTTGACGCACTGACTAGTATTTTCTTTATTTTTTTTCAAGAGTTTTTACTCTATTTTTATGTGTATGCTTGTGAACCTGTGTGTGGTATGTACACAAGAATGCAGCATCCTTGGAGGCCAGAAAACAGGGTTGGATGCCCTAGATGGAGTAAAAGGCAGTCCTGAGCTACCCAACAAGGCCAGCATGGTTCCTCTGCAAGAGCAGAATGTGCTCTTCACCACTGAGCCATTTCTCCAACCTCTTGCCTAGAATTTTCTTAGGAGTCAAAAGCTAATCTGCTTTGGCATCTTGATTAGTAACAACTATATCCCACTAGGGCAATGATCACACACAGCAAGAATCCAGATGGAAGGAATTGTTTTTCTCTGTGAAGACAGATGCAGGTGGTAGAGAGCAGAGCTAAGAAAAGCAAAGTCCCCTTTGATCCCAGACTCCTTAACTTGATCTCTGACAGCCTCACTCAACACTGCATTAGGTGCAGCACCTTTTCAGGTACAAGCGTGATGATTTTGTAGATCACTTCTCCTGGACCTCAGGGAAATGATGTTGGCAATATTTGTTTCGAATGGGCAAGAAAATAGAAAAGTGTGTCAGCCTCAGTAACAAAAGTGACTGGTATGAGAGTAATTCCCAACCCCTAGGGATTCTTTTAAAAATTCACTTATTTATTTTTATTATGGGGGCTCATGCTACAGTACATGTGGAGAAGTCAGGGGACAGCTGTGTGGAGTTGGTTCTCTTGTTCCACCTTTACTTGTGTTCCAGGGATTGAACTCAGGTTGTCAGCCTTGCATTGCAGGTGACAAGTACCTCTACCCACTGAGCCATCTCACTGGCCCCCATTTTTTTTTTTTTTTTTGAGACTGTCTCCATGTAATCCCAGCTGCACTGAAGCTCACTATGTAGACCAGGCTGGCCTTGAACTCCGAGATTTGCCTGCCTCTGCCTCCTGAGTGCTGGAATTAAAGGTGTGCACCACGTCCGACAAAGGTAGACATCCCTTTTAATACTATTGAAGAATAACATCCATTCACTCTCTGTGTTCTGGAAGCCAGGTGTTGCTAGGAGAAAGATGGGTAGATACACACCTCGGCCCTCAAGGACTCATCAATAGATGAATATATGATTCTAGTAAGAAGGGAAGTTCACACGAGTATAACCCAAATGGATTGATAATGCCTCATCATTGTGATTTCCCTCTCTTCCAGTTTGGAAGGACAAATACAACTTCACAAAGCACTCAAAGAATAGAAAAACCATGCCAAGCGTGGTGGCAGAGGCAGGCAGATCACTGAGTTCAAGGCCAAAAAAATAAAAGAAAGAAAGAAAAGAAAAGCCTTCCAGGCTGGAGAAAACCCCACCACCTCTGTCCTTCTCCCTCCACACAGACTAGAACACACACACACACACACACACACACACACACGCACACATAACTCACAAAGAATGTACAAAATGCAGATGAAATGTATGCCCTGAAGGAGGCTGGAGACACACAGGGAACCATTGTTAGCAGACTCAGAGTTGGAGTTGGTACGCAGGCCTCTCTGAGTTCACAGTCAATGTTTTTCTGCAGTGATCTCCTCACTTTGGAAGTAGCCCAGAACCCTCTTGCTGGCACTGTAGATCATTGTAATCTGGCCCTCATACTATCCCTTAGAGGAAAAATATTCCATTTGTCATGGACTGGTTGTTTTTTGCAAGCCTAATACCTCTATTCCCTTCAAGGTTGTGGTTTGTGATGCTGCATCTTACAGGAAAGCACCTAGAGCAGCCTCCAGTCCCCAAGTGTTATTGGCTTATTGGAGGTACTTCCTTCATGACTCAGACCTATATCATCTGCGATCTGATGTGTCTGAATTCTCAAATACTCTGCAGTTCTCTTTTCCATGATTATAAAGCTTGTTGTCCTGAAAGGAAACCCTGTCTTCAATTCATTCAGAGACCAGAAGAGGGTGTCAGATCCCCTGGAACAGGAATTACACGTGGTTGTTATCTACATTGTGGGTCATGGAAACTGAACCCAGGTCCTCTGCAAGAGCAGCCAGTGCTCCTAACCACTGAGACCTCCCTACACCCCCCAATACACCTTTTTAAAAAAACAGGATCTTACTAAGTAACTAGACTGACTTCGTGATGCTCCTGCCCCAGCCTTCTAGGTCTGGAACACAGGTATGTGCTACCATACCTGGTTTTGAGCATGTGTGTGTATGTACCTGCACATGTACATAAGGACATCCAAAGCCTTCTTCAGTTGCTCTCCATCTTATTTTTGAGACATTTCTCACTGAATGTGGAGTTTGCTGATTCAGCTAGGCTGGCTGACTAGCAAGCCTTAGAGATCCTCCTGTTTCTGCATTCCCCAGTGCTGGGATTATATGCACATAACATTGTACTTGACTTTTTCACATGGGTGCTGGGAATTGAACACAGGTGTTCATGCATTGCAAATACTTGATCACCTGTAGTCCCAGCTGGTCTAGAATTCACTATGTAGACCAGGCTGGCTTTGAACTCAGAGATCTGTTTGCCTCTGCCTCCTGAGTACTGGGATTAAAGGCATCTACCACCATGCCCAGCTATTCACTCTTTTAAAATGAGATTTTTTTTTCAATATTAGTTAAATTGTTGGCTGTCAATTTGGTACAGGTACAGTAATGATAAAAACACATTTCTGTTCTTAGTTACAAAATGGTGGGGAAAGGAATAGAAAAAAAAAACTTACTTGTCTTTTGACTTGTGAATGTAATGAACCCAGAGACTTTGTCTTGCTCATCTTCATGCTCTGGCTTTCTAGCACAGTATCTGGCTCAGTGCGGGCATTTAATTTTTAATCAACAAACATAATGGTGCTTGGAGCCAGGCACAGTTAGTAATACTTCACGATGTTAATTTATCTCAACCTCATAAGAACTCCTTTTCAAGGGGAAACTAGATCATACCTGTGCCACAGACAAGAAACTGTGGCACAGAGAAATGAAGCAACTTGCCTAAGGTTTCAGAGAAAGTGGCAGAGCTGCCGTTCAAACCCAGGCAGCCAGGCTTCAGGGTCTCTGTTCTCTGTCACTCTGCTCGTCCATCTCTTATCAATGTTGCATGAGTCTATGATCATTGGCTTTACCTGGGAGGAATGCTTTGTAAGTTAAGCCTTTGATTCTTTTAATCGACAAGTATTTGATAAATGCTTATTATGTGTCTAACTGTGAAAGAAATACAAAGACCCACATTGCTCAGTTTGTCATTTGGCTAGGGAGGATAAGCAAACACACACAACTTAAAATTCACATTACAAAATGTATACTGTCATATTAGCTTCCACATAGATGCCAGAAAAATTCAGAAAGATTACACGAAACTGTGAAGGGGCCGATGGCAGACAGACCCTAGGTAGCTCTGTGATTTCTACTCTCTAATTCCTTAGAGTATAGATTGCTTTTTAAAAAATTGTATCTATTAATTTTATATCTATGAGTGTATTGCCTGCATATGCGTAAGTACACCTGTGTCATTTGAGATGATAAGCATGACTTTACATTTGAAGTGCTGAATTTTGAAGAAAATATGATGGGCATAGTCACTTAGAATTTGGGAGGGGTTTTCAGGTGAGAGCTCAAGGTAGGTAGAAAATTCAGTCATTATCAGCATAGACTGTGATAACTTGACATGAACACTTGACCCACCTGTCTAGGGGAAAGTGTTAAGCACTGTTAAAGCACTTTTAATCTGTTAAAATCACTATTCATATAAGTGATAAGGTATTTCAGTTCATGATAAGCACCCCTCTGATGTTCATTTTCCTATTAATAAGCAAACATGATGGGGATGCAACAATTTGAATGCCTTTTATAGCAGCTTTTGACCTCTTCCTTACTGCCATGGAGGCCTGGAACAAAGGTGCAGCAGTTAAACAGCCAGCCAGTCTACCCTTATGCCAGCACCAGTAGTCCTGAGCATTCCATCGACACCTTGAAACAAAGATGCAAAGATTGCAGTTGATTGTTCCTGGCTCCTGAAGGCTCAGTTCCAAGCAGGGTTTTCTGAAATATTTTGAACCTGGCAATCACCTAGGCAGAGGGTGAGCACTTCTGGTGGTCCAGCAGAGGGACTGGTGTGGCCGATGCTAAGAGGCAAAGTTGTGATTGGTTCAGAACACAAGTCTTCATGAGAGTGATTAGTGCTATGAGGCAAGGCTGTGATAGAAGGGTCCAAAGAAATATCTGTGATTAGTGTAAAAGCCCCACTTTGAGCTATCTAACAGGCTGCTCAAGCTTGGGAAATGCTCCCGTGTTGCAACTGTAGGCCAGTAAGAGACTTCTCTCAAGTGGAATTTTCTTGCCTGCTTTCAGTTGTGTAGTCAGGGAAGGAGGCAGCAGATAGAAGAGCCAGGGAACTGATTGTTCAGGAGTGGCCTGGGGAGGAATGAGGGCAGCAGAGACAGCAAGAGGGTGTGGAAGAGTAAAAAGCTGTAAAGTGCCAGATCAGAGAATCTACAGGCCCTGTCAAAAGAAGAGTTCAGAGGACTGTAAAGTCTCCAAGGTCAAGCATCTCAGACACCTGGCTCCAACACTGACTGCTATCAAGGGGCTGAGACATTCTAATACCTAATACCTAGGCATTCTGGGAAGCTGCAACACCAGCTGTAACCATTCTAGGCTCAAGAAGTTGTAATGCTTGCAGGGCCATAGGTCCCAAAATGCCAGGTTGCACCAACTGTACTACTGGAGGGTGTCACTTGCTGCTGCTCTCACCGGTCCAAGGGTCCTGACACTACTGCTCCCGTCTCTTCTGGTCTACTCCCAGCCAGCTGACTTGCACCAACAAACTGGAGTCCTAAAAATAAGAGTTCTCAGAAGCAGTTCAGAGACGAAGGACAGGAGGTGGATTAATCTTGGGCAAAGGCCACTGAAGGAGAAAGAAGGGAGAAACAAATCCAGAAGAGCAAGAGGGTTTACAGAGTCAAAGGGAGGCATGCTGGATAGGTTCTGTTTGGTTTTTTGGTCTTTTTTTTTCCTTGGGTCTCTTTTGAGACAGGGTCTCCCTGTAGCCCCAGCTGTCCTGGAACTCACTATACATAGACCAGGCTGGCCTTGAACTCACAGAGATCCGCCTGCCTCCCGAGTGCTGGGACTACAGGCGTGCACCACCACACCCTGTGCTGGATAGGTTCTGTGGCCTGAAATATTTCTCCCTCCACCCAGCCAAATGTGATGATGGTGTAACTTTAGGATATAATCTCTTTTATGGGTAAGAAAATAGAGGCATCTCAAGTTCAACAATATTGGGACTGGTGAGACGGCTCAGGGGTTAAGAGCGCTGGCTGCCCTTGCAAGAGGACTTGGTTCTGTTCTCAGCATCCCCATGGCAGCTGACAAGTATCTGTAACTCCAGTTCCAGGAAATCCGACGCACTCTTCTGGCCTCTTCGGGAACTACATGCAGTAGTGCACTTATGCGTGTAGGCAAAATACCCATACACGTAAAATAAAAACAATATAAAAAGAATTGAACAATATGTATCAATGCCAAATCGGTACCTGAAGGTTAGATTTGAATTCAGATCAAGGTCTGTGATCTTTGAGCTTTAATTTTACTTCATCCTTATTTTTCACAGAGTAAAACGAGTAAGTCAGAGGCCAAGAAAGGGAAGAAGGTTCCCCAGGCTTAAGAAAAGCAGAGAGGGGGGGGGGCTGGCGAGATGGCTCACTGGTTAAGAGCAGTGACTGCTCTTGCAAAAGACGCGGGTTCGATTCCCAGCACCCACATGGAGGCTAGGAGTCGTCCTTCACTCCAGTTCCAGGGGAATCTGAAGCCCTCTTCTGACCTCCACAGCATTGTGCAATGCACTCACATACATTCAGGCAATACAGTCATACACATAAAATAAAAAAAATAAAATATTTAAAAGAAAAAGAAAATCAGAGAGAAGCCAGGGGACCAGTGTCATTGTTCTCTGTGAGGCCAGCTGAGGTCGCCAGAGCACAGGTTGCGCAGGCCTAGGAATGCGTGTGCGCATACGTTTCCGCAGACGCATGCGCGCTGGCTCCCGCGTGCACGGGGGCGCCAGCAGGGGCGGGGACGCGCAGTGCGTTTGGCCGGGGGCGGAGCGGGGGCCTGGGCAGTCTGCCGGGTGGAAGCCCTCAGCGGGCTTCACGTAACAGAGGCGCCGCGCACTGCTGACTCCGCCGCGTAGTGCTGACTCTGCCGCCCACCGCTGAGCCATGGAAATCGGCACCGAGATCAGCCGCAAGATCCGGGTGAGGCCAGCGTTGGCGGGCGCCAGGCAGGGGTTCTGGGCCTGGCGGGCAGGCGGTCGCCAGGAGTAACGGGGCGGGTAGGCCCAGCCGCCTCTGTCCGGCGCAGACGCGGCGGGGCGGCGAGGCGGCGGCTCCACGGGCCGTGGCCGGGGCTCCGGGGACGCGTGCGGGCCCTCGGGAGCCACTCTGAGCGGCGCGGTCGGGCGCCAGGCGTCGACCGCAGAAGGCGGCGCCGCGCGGTGGTCGGGCTCCCCTCCCCCCACGGCGGGGCCCCGCGGCGGGGGGGGG